AAAATATAAGGTGGCACAGAGACTGCAATCCCTTAGTCATTCATCACCATGGGGACGATTAGAGAATGAAGTGAAATTAGACAAAAGTGTATTGACCTTTATGAATCATCCAATGGGTATAAAAATGGCTACAAACCTGAAATTCACTGTTAGAGCAATAATTAAGAAGTTTAAAACAACAAGAGCTGTAATTAATCCACCTGGAAGATGATGTACTATTATTCCTCATGCACAGTGGGAAAGATAGCTAGGAAGGCAAACATTTATCTAAAGATCATAGGTGGAAATTTGCAAAAAAAGAAATAAATAATTTAAGTATTTTGGGGTCACAAATGTTCCAAATCTACAATGACACACCACCTCCATATCAACAAACTACTTTTGTACCACTGTCATGAGATGTGACGTGAAGGAAGCAGGCAGGATTCAAACGCAGTATGAACGGTGACTTTTATTTACAGTGTGGTGAAAGCAAAACCAAAACGGAAACAAGAAACATAACTCTCTCAAGAAACTAAGCTAAGCTAACTCACTGTGACTATGGCTAATGCTAATGCTAAGGCTAAGGCATAAACATGACATGAAACGGAGATTCGCTATAGTCACACTCGAGATATACCTAGAATACCTACGTACATCGATACATTCATTCATTCAACCGCGCCATGTGAAGCACGGCTCACAGTATATATATACATAAGTTTTGTTAGCCCGCAGCTGTTAGCAGTTTCCATTACCATAACCCACGTGACACATGACAAGACGGGACGAAGACATGACTGCTGCACGGGGGGAATCGTGACAACTACAAGAAAACCTTTTCTTTCATCTAACCACAAACATAAGATTGAAAGGACCTATGTTCTATGGTAGATGAGATAAAAAAAATAAATAAATAAAAAAACAGAGCTTTTTGACAATAAATACTCAAGGCTTGTTATATAGAAAATAACTTAATCCCCACTGTTAAGTACAGTGAAGGATCTCTGATGATGAGAGGACATGTTTCTTCCAAAAGCCTTAAGAGCTTTCTTAGGATGCATGGCATCATAGACTCCAGTGTGTATAAGACCATTTTAAATGAAAATCTGGCTGCATTGTTCAAGAAGTTACAATTGGATTATGGATCTTCAAGAAGGATAATGATCCAAAAGATATTTCCAAATTCAGACCAAAAGGGTTTGTGAGCAGAAAATCAAGTTTTTGACATGGTCATCCAAGACAACCTCTTTGAAAACTTGGAGAGCGATTCAAAGTGAAAAGAAGGCTTACTGCTATTATGTTGGAAAAGCTGGAAAGTTGCACACAGTACCCAATACAGGGGTGGCAATAATTGTGACATGAAGTTTTGTTAAGAATGTATTTTTATAAGGTTTATTTTCTTAAGTTATTGATTATGATTCTTTCATATTTTCCAACCTTGTTTTTAACACATCTTTAGCAAGGGCACCAATAATTCTCTAGGTTATGTAGCAGAGGAATGATGGAGAGCAAAGCTCAAGCTAAATGGATAAAAAGCTTTGCACTCTTATCTGGAGTGTTGTACTTTAACATGGCCCTTCACCTAGGAGTATGGTGCATCAAGTAGGGCAGAGATCTTTTAATATTATTTCACTTAACATGAAAACCATTTTGTAATATAATTATTAATCTATATTAGAATGGTACATGGAGTACATTTGTACAATAATGTACATATGAAGGTAAAAAGCAGAACTCTTGCAATAAAAAAGATAAAAGGAAAAATAAATAATACCCAGGTCATGACACACATATAACACTAGGTGGTATGTATTATGTAAACTTAATGTCTAACAAAGCCAGATATGTTTAATGAGCCATATCATGGTGCATGGTATTTGTGGTGTATAAGCATTAGTAAGGAATTCAAACAATCAGGTATAGAGAGGAGCATGGGGTGTGAGGAAACTTATTAGGGCCATTGGCTTTTAACACTGAACTAAAATTGAACAACTGCCATGTGTTATGGTATTCGAGGTGGGTAATTACAGACTGTGAAAACCAATAAAGACAGCAAAACTAAAATATCTTAATGCTTTGTATGATATTTAAGGCAAGACACAATATTCCCCCCTTTCACTTGGGTACAAAACTGGCTACGCTTAAATTGTGGCAATGAAATGTCAAAACTCAAGTCAAGTGTTTTTGTCTACTCTGTCATGAATCTGTGATGCAGTGGATAAAGGGGATGGATGCAATCGCATATAAGAACGATAGGTTTATTTATAAAGAGAGGCAGACAAATCCAAAACGTAATCCATAATCGTAATCCAGAATCAGGTGAACAGCAAACAGGCATAAACAGGGCAGGACAGAGATCAAGGTCGAGGTAACAGAAAACAGGGTCGAGAAACAAACAAACATGAACAGGAACATGAACGTGAACATAAACTAGGACGTGGAGCTGGGAGCAGATAACCCAGCGTGACTAACTCTAACATGGACGTGAAATCTAAGTTTATTCTAAGTTTAATACACCGCGCCGTGTGTAGCACGGCTCACAGTATATACACACACACACACACACACACACACACTGATATCATTAGCCCCCGCAACTGCTAACAGCTGCGGTCAATACAATAACACACGTGACACTACGACACATGACAAGACAGGGCGGAGACATGACATCAGCAACAACAACAAACGCACATGTCCAGCTGTCACTTGGGAAAAGCACATGCTCGTGTATTTGTACAGTAGAGCACGTTGCCACAAGGGGAAACAGTGACACACTCACAATAACTGCACTGTCTGAAATTTAGAACCTTTAAGAAGGATTTAGCCCCGCCCACTCAGCACAATCATTTCACATGATAAATCACTGAAAGGCTTGTTTCCTCATATAAATATTAAGTTATGTGGTATTGTGACATACATGTCAATTTATTTTATAAACCTTATAACCATGCTAAACCAAAGTAGTCTAATTTAATTTTAAAGTTGTTTTTCTTAAATAAGCTTATTACAGATGAATTTTTCAAGTTATGACAGATTCTATATGAAAAATGGCATAAAACTTTATTATAACAGTAAATGGTATTGTCTTGATTGAATTATATTCCAGCAAACTTTTTATATATTGTTTTTTTTTAAATACACTACTTACCTGCAAGTTTAATCTCAAATTAATTTTAAAAATTTTTAATTTTTTTAAAAAAAATTTTTATTATTGATACCTGGCTGAAGATGGAAGTGTAATGAGCAAATGGAATAGAACAGACTTTCTAATATAAGAAAAACCCACAGAGGAGGGAAACACACACACACAAGCACACGCACACGCACACGCATGCATGCACACACACACACACACACGTATGCATGCACACACACACACACATACACACACACACACACAATCCTTTCATTGCAAAAAACTGACATCAATGTTTCACATAGGGTACTCCCATTGGGCACTCCTGTGTCGTACTGTATATGAAACACGGTTATAGGACACATCTAATAAATTGTGTTATAACAGCTATATCAAATAGTGTCTGACAGTGTCAAGGCAGTGACAGGCTATTAACAGCACGTAATAAAACAAAGACAGCTGAGAGGTGATGTCATTCCTCCTCTGACTCATTCTTCCTTCCTTCCAGTTATAGAAACCTGGGAGATTCCCTAAGCAAATTCTGCCCTTCCAATAACAGGGGAGAAAAGATAATTATCTTAGAGCAGATTCTGAGCTTAGCATGTGCAGCAGGAGGCTAGCTGCTCACAGATGCTTTGGGCCCACAAGTCCATCTCTCATGATAGCCCACTCACTTAAAAAAAAGTAGTGAGAGCTCAAAAAAGGTAGCAGCATGATGTGCTAAGCCTGTAACTGTTTTCTGCTTGACATTGGCGGGTTGGCACCTTGCCAGAGGGCAGCAGGCCCTGCTAGTCCTTGAGCCTGTCAGTCCCTGTAGACCTCTGTTACATATAAAAATAATTGTTCCTGGCGGAGTGATATATTAAAAAAGGCCAACGACAGAGAGGACCTTGGCGCTCTAGGGGGCTGGTCCGAGGTGTCGGCAATTCAGACAAGCCCTTAGTGGGACAATTCTTCTGGGATAGATACATGCCTCAAATATTTTACTTTTTCCCCTAACACCACCATGTTGTCTTTTTTCCTTCTCTCTCTGTACAGTTTTTCATTCCTTTAAATGGATGATGATATGAGCAATGAGAGGTTTGGACTGTCCAGGTGTCTTAGTGATATTTGACAGCAAAACAATAGAGAGAGGCAGACTAATGCTTTTAAAATAAAAAGGTTGCCCAGGAGTCAAGGTGCAGTATGTTTAACCAATAGAATATTTCCAACACCTTTAAGGTCTGATTCTAATATATATATATATATATATATATATATATATATATATATATATATATATATATATATATATATACGATAGTAACTTGTCTTTATCTTTTCCGATTAGAATATATATATATATATATATATATATATATATATATATATATATATATATATATATATATATATATATATATATATATATATATATATATATTGATATATATATATATTTATATATATATATATATATATATATATTGATATACAGTATATATATTCTAATCGTTCTATTCATATATATATATATTCTAATATATATATAAACATATATATATGTTTCATATGTTTCACTGTTTCACTTTTTCTTGAATATGAATGTAAATTAATGAACATGAGAATGCTCAGCTGAGCCTTAAGAGCTACTTGAAAAGGTAGACAGGGTTTCAAATTGGCATGCAGTAAAATAATCAGCTATATACATTATATTGTATATGAGAGCATCTCCCATCACTTACTCACTATCATTTAGAAAGATTTATGAAGTGCTATTTTTAAAGTTTATTTTACATTAACCAGGAATTACAGGGTACTTTCTGAATGAACTGAATGCCAGTTGTAAAGAAGTATACAGTTTAATTTACAGCTTCTTGTTTTTTTATTTTAGTTTTAGGGCAGTGGTAGCTCAGTGTTTAAGATGTTGGACAACTGCTCGGAAGGTCATGAGTTCAAATCCCAGCACTGCCAAGCTACCACTGTTGGGCCTTTGAGCATGGTCCTTAACCCTCAATTACACAGTTGTTGTAAATGTAAGTTGCCCTGGAAAAGGGTGTCTGTCAAATACCATAAATACTATAATCCAACATCAGTATACATAATATCAATATGTATATTGTTATAAAACTCAATTTGAATGGATATACCACATTTGAAAAAATATCCTGAATATTGTTCACTGTTTCCAGAAATTTTTCATCAGCCCATGTTTTATACGAAGAGGCAAGAATATTCTTGTTGGAAAAGTGTTTAATGCACCACTCTTTTCTATCCTGAAACCAAATGATTAAGAAGAACTTGCCATGCCATATAGTAATAAGACTCTTTAGCACAGCTGTCCTATACCCAATTGTAATTAACGATACTTGAGAAAATTGAACCTGGTAACAGCAGACTGTCCTTGCAGTCTTGAACACAGCAGCTTCAAAATCCCTGATCAACTCAAGATGAGGCTCACCGCATGCAAGTGGTTCAAAAATCTGGATCAGAATCTATTTTCAATCCAGGCTTGTGCATTGTGTACCTTCATGGGGTCCCTCTATGCTCCATGTCTTCAGTGGCCTTGGGACTGACAGACTGTCATAGTGTAGCACTGGCCTCATGTCTGGAGGCAGATTGGGACATACAGTAGATTCCTTGTTTTTAGTAGATAAGCCAGAGTCATTGGTCAGACTGTAGCATCAATCTGTTACAAGAACCCTCTGCTCCTGCCATGTCATATGATTAACAAATGGCATTGACATTCTACCTCTGAGCCAAGCTCTAGCAGACAGTGGTGCATGTTGTACAAATGTGAGGAGTCCAGACTTTTCATTGATCACCAAATTCAGAACCGATGTAAAGCTTATAGGCTTTCATGGGCTGTCTTTGAGGATTTAGGGTACCTATACTGATCAGAGATGTAACAGAACCTGAGTAATCAATCTGCTACAGTGTATGCGAATGGTTTTCATAAGTGGTATAACACCAATATCTGCCAATATCTATTTTGGTCATGTATGCCCAAGCCTAAGCATTTCCACTTTCAGCAGTTCCACATTACTTTTGGTAACATTGAAATTAGGCAGAGAATGTTACCTCATGTGCACCACATACTCTTTCCCATCATTGACCTCCCATGTGGTATTAATGCTATGAATCCCCTTATCTTGGATGCAGGAGAAATCATACTGAAAAAAGAAGACAAATGAACGATTACAAGTATAAACTGAAGCATAAATTTTAAGATGCTCAAGAGAATTTAAGCCAGTGTTTTACAGTACTAATTTGAATGAGATTTTAATTAATCGTACATGAAGGGATTAAATTTGGAGGGGGATCAAGGGGATCGAGTAAATGGTAATAATAATGATGACAATGATGATGATGATTTACTGTGGTAGTACAGATTCCAATACTGAATTACTAATTAACTGAAAACCTGACATCCCTGACATCCCAAATGCAAATTCCCAAATTAAACCCCTGCTAACACGACATATCAAACATCAGACAGATACATTTAAAATTATATAACCTATAGAAGCTTTACCTGTAAAATTCCATTGTTAAGGTAGAGCTGCATAAAAACGAATCCAGCTCCTTGGTCGACATACAGGAGTGTTCCATTTGCTGAGTGAGTCTGAAACCTCACTGTGATATTACTCACAGCACTGAGATTAATGCCCTCAAATTCCAGGAATGAAGTGCCAGAATATCTGCCATAGGTGATATCTAGAGAAAACCAGAGAAATTAACAAATTCAAACAATGGAGAATTTTTTTTTAAAAAGCAAATCAAAACATTATATAGTCTCATATGAAGTTGTTGGGGGAAATTTCCTGCTGCAATTTTCCTGCTTCTGGTAACAGGGCTGAAAATTGGATTAGACTATGAAATTGGAAATGCTTGGTTGCATCCCTGAAACATGATATTGAAAACAATAAGGACAAACTAATAAAAATAAATAAATAAATAAAATGAGTGACTTAGTTCCAGTGTACTATATTATGTCATTTGACGCTACAGTGGGGTCCAAAATTGTGAGACCACTAAAAAATGCTTCTATTCTGCATTCTTTTCTAATTCAGTATAACAATTTTTATTACTATATCACTGACAACACCTTGAGTGAAAAGTAGACTTTTGATTATTTATTATGAATTTCAGAGTTTCTCAGTATTTTTATGTCTCCTTTTTGTTTTAATGACAATATGTACTCGAGCTGTCATGGAAGTTTGTGCAAAACATTATGATACATTTTAGATCAAATCCATCTAGTGTCATCTGAGGAAAATCAGACTTTTTGCACAAAGCAGTTAACATGGTCAATATCACACATTTGCATTACATTTAAATAGTGACCTAGAAATAGTGCAGAATCGTGAATATTAAAAAGATATAGATAAGCTATTGAAGACTTACTTTCTTAAAAAAAAAAGTCTTAAAAAAATCTTAAATTTTAAGAATTTCAATGTGGTCTCAGAGTTTTGGACTGCACTGTATATGCTAACTATGTGCAACCAACTTTGCCAGTTCATGAAAGCACATTTCCAACCTGAACAAACTCAGGGTTTCCATCCTCTCACACAACATCAGAGAGGTTAGAAAGCATGTGGCTTCCATTCTCAAGGCCTTCCATTATCACTGTGACTCATAGAGTAGCTATTTGCTTCACGCCAAAGTACTTCTAAATAGGCTTCATCCTAGTAGTGGACTGATGGCTAGGCCTTCACTAGAATTTACATGCACTTCTAAAATCCATGCATGGTGTCCTCACTACATCCACCTAATATATTCAAGCATGCACAATAATGAGTGCTTTCAAATCTCAATAAAATGAGAACAAACTCTGTGTATAGTTCCAGCTTGGAAATTAAAATGACACCAATATTATTCTGGATTCTGTGTTGAAAAAATTTGCTTCAGTCTCTACCATTTCCTCTAGCATCAGTAATCTTTTAAGCCATTTGACCACTCTAGCAAGCATTCTTTATGCACCTAACAACAGTTAACAGGCCAAGGCAGATTCAAACTTTATATAGATTTAAAATAAAATATTGTTTATTTCGATATCACTTAATCACCAAATTTGAGCTGAAGGCAACAGAACAGCAATCAGGTAATTGTTGAGTTATCCAGCCACAATGCTGTAGAGTGTTGTTTTCCAAATCAGACCTCAGGGTCTCCCAGAGACAGCCCAGAGTTTTTTCACATCTGAAAAAACTAGCTAGCAAAATATTAGCTAACATTATTGCAACTAACAAGCTCGTTTGCTAGCAATGTTGGAGGGTTTGCATTTTACAAACTGACAAGTTTCACAAATCACTCACATTTATATGTTCTTGCATAGACTCACATTTTTACATCATAGCTATGGCATATATTAGCCTATAATATTTCTCCTGCGTACCTCTCAACAAGAAGTCTGGTAGCATAGTGTCTCGTGAGAGTGAAACATATAATTAAGTCTTAGCTTAACATATAATCAAGTCTATGGACAAATTAAAAAGAGTGTTCCTTAGTTGCTCTGAAGTCTGTTGAGAACTGATCACCACCGCTGAGTCAGTCTTAAAACAACAACAAAAAACAACCCAAAATCTTCTGAAACCACCAAGGTCTACATTTTGTGTCCTCACAGCTAGTTATGGCCATGGTTAAGAGGTGACTAGAACAATAATCATATGAGACCAGATTATGGACAAAAACGGTTATAGAGCACAGGTTTAATGCCCCAACCAGAACTTTGCAGACCAAAAGGACAAGAAATTATCCTCTTGGAAATCCTTTGATCCTGGAATTAATTAGGATGAATACAAAGTAACTAGTAAGATACATTTCTACTTCCTCTTCCCCCTTCTGACTTGTAAGCTGGTTACAGCTGCAATGATTATAGGAAATTTCCCCTTGGCAACCAAGTCATTCATTAATTTGAAATCCTTGTCTGGACTGATATAAAGCTTTGATGCAGTCCACATCAATTGCCAGCAGGCATGGGCATGCCTCATTAGCGTGAGAAAGTCTCTTCCCCAGACTCCACTTTTGTCAATAAGTTGTATTGAGAAGCTCGGATAAAAAGCTTTTCAGGTGTATTTCAGTTCTGAAACTCCTTGTTTTATTGCAGTGGGGTTTTCACAATGTTTCAACTGTTACTAGTGGAACCTGAAATGTCAAATTAGATCAAGTGAAGATTGAAATTTGAAAAACTGAAAAAAGGGAAAGAAACTACAAATTTAATAGATTTATCAACTGTTGAAATGACAACAGACAACGTGATTACTCTCTACCCAGAAATAAGAACTGTTATTATTTTATTTCACACTCTACAAAATGCTATTTCCTACATCCGCCAGACTTCTTTTGTGCTGCTTCAGCTTGGGGGCGTTCAGCTCTGCATAGACATGCTCATGCCCCCACTTTAACCAAAGAATGAAGGAGTACTGAATTATCAACACGTCACTGATTTTCTACAAAATCAGCAAATGTATTTACTCTGAGTCAATCAATAAGCCCATAAAGGGTGTGAAGGGAACAAGCCAGGCTACCCTTAAAACTAGTGAAAGAGGAAATAAATAAAAAATAAATAAATAAATAAACAAACAAACAAACAAACACATATAAGAGGTTATCTACTACCAATCATCTGCATTTTAGTGAAATTCCACTAAATTTCAACTGCATATTGTAAACACTTGAATACAGAAAGATTTAAAGAAATTAAAGTTTGAATTTATAAGCAACAAACTGGCAGACACTATTGAAAGAAATATTACTGCTACCAAAAGAAAGTCTAATTTGAGATAGTGTCAACTACAGTTAAGAGCTTATAAAAAAAAAATTTACCAAAAGAAAAAAAAAAAAAAAAAAAAAAAACACACATAGTGTGGTCAAAAAAAAAAAAGCAAAATAAAAAAAAAAAAAAAAAAAAAAAAAAACAACAAAAAAATTACAAAACAGTGTCTTATATAGTGTGGTGTGATTGTGATTGGGAA